AGAGAGAGAGAGAGAGAGAGAGAGAGAGAGAGAGTTTTCCAGCCATGCACGCAGAGAGAGAGAGAGAGTTTTCCAGCCATGCACGCAGAGAGAGAGAGAGAGAGGCTACTTCCATCGATAGGATGAGCAAAATTGGAATGAATCTTCCACCAGAATATGGAAATATACACTGTTGTCCAGCCATGCATGCAAAGAGGTAGAGAAAGGTTACTTCCATCGATAGGATAAGCAAAATCAGAATGAATCTTCCGCTAGAACATGGAAATATACACTGCCACTTGGCCGATACTGCCACCATGGCATCGTCTCCCCCTCAACACAAGGAGCCCGATCCCAAAACAGATATCCATCTGCTGCCATGGTGGCACCGTATTCCCCCGACACAACGTGCCCTCATTACGACCTAATGTGGCTGGGTAGACAGCTTGTATACATTCACTATAAGGGCGCGTTGTTCAGGGGAAGATGGCATATGACTGCATTCGGCCGCGAACACAACGAGCCCGATTAAATTGGGGGAAAAAAAAAACAGAAGGAAAAATTTCCACCTGATGCCATGGTGGCACCGTATCCTCCCGAACACAACGTACCCTCATCACTACTGTATCAAACCGGGAAAACAGCTTGTATACATTCACGATGAGGGTACATTGTGTTCGAAGGAAGTCGCAAACAAGCAGGAAAAAAAAACAAACTGAACAATCCCACCATGCCTAGTAAAAATGTGTAAAAAAAAAAAGAAAAACAGTGCACCGTACGCCACACTGCCAGGGCCTGCCTGCTGGTATTGCTAACCAAAAAGAGAAGAAAGAGGCAAACCCTGGCAGTCGTCGTTGCAGTCGCCATCGTGTTGCAGTCGAGTAACCCGTTGTTTGTAGGAAAGATCAGGATAGATAGATGGATATATATATATATATATTGTTAGATAGATGGATATATATATATATATATACAGAGAGAGAGAGAGAGAGAGAGAGAGAGAGAGAGAGAGAGAGAGAGAGAGAGTGTTGCATACTGTAGCGTGCAGACCAGAACAAGAACCGACCTCTTATCAAAATAACACAGCGGAAGACTTAGATACGAATGATCCGAACAATCAATATTGCAATGCAGCTCTGAACACACATTATCATCATCATCGTTATCTGGTATGAAGGGGGTCTGGCGCTTCACACAAGAAGACTGCGCCAGCCCCAACCATACACAGACGAAGAAGGAGGGGTTCGGCGAAAGAGGAGGGGAAGATGAGAATGTCGTCAACACCAAGTCTCAGTACAGGCTCAAATAGTCCCTCGTCGAAATGTCTAAATCCCAATGTCCAGTCTGGATCCAATGTCGTCAAGTCTCAAGTCACAACTCTTTCTCTCTCTGTCGTA